ATGGCGAATTTCTGTTAATGCCTCGGCCTCCAAATTCACCTGACATGAACCCAACCGAAAAGCGGGATTGCGCTGCATCATGTCCACCCCACAATGCACGGAAACTGGAGGACCTGCTGTTGATATTATGGTACCAGTTACCCCAGGAGACCTATCGGCGCCTCATCAAATCGCTGTGTGGCCACTGTTTTGTGGGTTATTAGATAGGTGGTCATAATGTAGCGGCTCATGCACACACACATCAATCAGCACCACACAGAGGATACACTCCAATAATCTTAGAGGACATGGATGTCTTGGCAGCATTGATGAGACACTCTCTGCCCAAATCATCTGTGCTGATGGTCAGATTCTCATTGATGTATCGGACTGCCTCCCTGGGAACCAGACAAAATTAGCTTACTTTAAATGTCTTGCTCAATCGTACTTAAACACACAAGACTTCCTGTTGGCACAGGAAGTGACTCTTACTTGCAGGCCAGTCTGTATCCACTGATGATGGAGGTGGGGTGGATCTTCTGTTTGACGAGCTCATCGGCACTCTTCAGCAGCTCGGCGGCGATGATCACCTACAGACACACGCAGAGATGAGTGGCTTCTGCAACACAATCTCACTTCACACCGTCTAGTGTCCTGTCAGAGATGTGGAAGCTGCAGGGGAAGACCGACACTCCTATCCAAAGCAGCAAATGTCTCACCACTGATGTTGTGCCATCTCCAACCTCCTTATCCTGCAGCTCTGCTAGCTCACAGAGGACCTTAGCCGCCGGGTGCTCCACCTCCAGCAGCTTCAGGATGGTGGCTCCATCATTGGTGATGGTCACGTCCTGCAATACATATCCAAAGCATGAGAAAACAGACCAGAGAGGAACATCCACACTGCATTCGGTATGTACGAACAATTCTAATGTTTCCCATCTAGCATGTAAGAGCTGAACATCACGGGTCACTGTGACAGGAGGAAAAATGTGTGCACTTACTCCGATGTCATCCACCAACATCTTGTCCAGTCCGACGGGACCGAGAGAGCTCTTCACGATATTAGCAATGGACGCGGCGGCCATGACTGCGAAGCAACAAATAAAATGAATCTGAACGTTTCACTCGTTTCTGTTCAGCAAGATTTAGTATGCCGATGTTGTCTGCA